ATGACATGTGACTTGCTCTGTGCCACAGAATAGGAGCAGAAGGGGTGGCAGCCCTTGCCAAGCAGAAGCTTTATGAGTCTCCTCAGTCTTTCATTTTTTCTTTTCCCTCTGCTGTGAGATGCACTGTCCCAAGAGCTGGGTTAATCTTCAGCCTGCATCCCAGAATGAGGAAGATGTGCAGCAGGGCTGAGCTAGCCTGAGATAGCAGGTAATACGAGCAAGAAATAACCCTTTGTTGTTGTAAGCCACTGAAACTTTACATTGTTACCAGGACATAACTTGGCTTAAGTTGACTAATACTAAAAGACCCTTTGCATTAAAAAAAAAAAAAAAAAAAAAAAAAGAGGAAGGGGGTGCCTGGGTGGCTCAGTCTGTTGAGCATCCAGCTCGCGATTTTGGCTCAGGTCATGATCTCAGGGTCCCGATCCAGCTCCATGTCCAGCTCCACGCTCGGCGGGAGGTCTGCTTGAAGATTGTCTCCCTCTCCCTCCAGCCCTGCCCCCTGCACTCTCTCTCTCAAATAAATAAATAAATCTTAAAAAAAAAAAAGAAGGAAAGATTGTTTTTTAAAAAACACGAGCTAATGGTAAACCCACCTTGTAGCATATCCTGGCCCTCTCCCACAACTGGCAAAGGCAGGATATATCCACACACTAACAAGAGAATTCAAGTACAAAGATAAGCACATAGCTAAAAATCAATGCACTTGATAAAAGCCAAAATATTTAAAGGGAGACCCCCCCAACTCTATAGCCAGATGAATTTCTTGGATCATTTTTTAATTTTGGTAAGTCAGTCGCTATAGAAAGGAAAGCCAAAAGGTCTTGAGGGTCAAAGTTTGATGACTATGATATTTGCTGTTAACGGCATAGATTTAATACCACTGTATTTTTACCAGGATTGTTGTTTTAAAAGGATCCAGTTACAAAGTTCCACTGGTTTTCTGTGGTCTGCCTCTTATCCTAGTTTTCTTGTAAGTCCTCTTATTTTTAGCATGTGATTTTGCAGAATGCAGCAGTTTTTGGAAATGCACATCTAGTGTTATATCTGAAATGCCTGTATTTTAATAGGTAACAATCCCCATATACCAATTTAAAACAAATAAAAACCCTGTAACTCTTTCTCCATCCCTGTCTTTTCCCCGTTCAGTCATCTTGTACATATGCATGGGGTCAGGAGGACATGTGCTCAAGTGGAATGAGCGTGGCCTTCAGAATCAGACAGAACTGAGTCTGATCCTTATTCTGATATCTACCAGCTATGTGAACTCTAATGATGCTATCTCCCTGAGCCTCAGCTTCCTCGTCTGTAACGGAGAGGGTAGAAAGACCTCTCTGGAAATCAGCCAGAAGATAGCCAATCTCCGCGAGCAAACTCAAGAGCCAATAGCAAGTGTCCCCGAGGAGGTCCTTCCCACAGGACAGCACTTTCCAGTCGGGACTGGGCCTCGCCCCTGCAGATGCTCAGGGCCCTGAACCAGAACCTGCAGGGATGGGGCAAGGCTGGTGAATGCTTCACAGTCCCCCCAAGATGACACGATGCCTGGTGATACACAGTGCTGTAGAGAAGCTGTTCCCTTGTCCTGACTCCATGTTCAGGAAGCAACTGAGGGCACGGAGCTAACGGGGTAAGAATGCCTCTGGTAGGTAGACAGTCTGATCTGCTTAATAGCTGCAAATCACAAAGTGACATTCTGTGCTTATTCAGCTTGCTCAAACTCACTGTGCCTCAGCTTCCTCCACTGTAAAATGGGAATAATAATAGCACCTAACTCGCAGCATTGCTGTGAGGATTATGAGAGCTATATGGGAAGTGTTTGGAACAGTGGCTGGTCCAGAAGAAGTGCTATCTGAGTGTTCACTGTTAGTATTGTACATCAGGCTCTGTGAGGTTGGTTAATGTCACTCTGCCTTCAGAAGCCAGTGCAGTGGGGGCATGCACAAAAGCAACTTAAGACCACGCCCCTGAAGAGTGGCTGATTTACCAAGTCCATACAACTTTGAAGGGACCTCTCTGGGCAGCCAGAGTCCTTCCTTTGGTGATCATACGCACGCCTCGTCTTGCCATGTGCCCTAATATTTGGAACTATCAGTAAGGATTGTATGAAAAACTGTCTCAAATGCCTAGCAAGTGTCTAGCACACTGTCTGTCCTCGAACAATGGTGCCTTTTTCTCTCTTCTCAAGCACCGTTAAGTCTCGGACCTGTCAGCTGCAAACCATGCATTGGGAAGGGAATGCCTGGCAGCCTACGGACACTGGGGTCGCTAACTTTGACTCTAAGAGAACCTGCAACCGTCTCATTCCCACCGTTTCTGGACTGAAATAAATTCAGCAGGAGACTGTAGCCTCAGCAGCTGATAACGTGATTTGAGACTCACGTGAGAGAACACCAGTTAGACTTCAGCTCCTCCTGAGTAATGGTGTCTTGGTGACCGTTATATACCCTGCAGCCAGCACATAGTAGGTGCTCACAAACGATTTGTCATTTTAAATCGAGGCAGTAGCTGATTTAAGGTTATTGAATGAACGCAATGGGTCCTGATTTCCCTCATTTTCTTACCCGAGCCTGAAGCTAAGGCATGTGAGCCTTAGAGCCTTTCCGGGACAGCGAGCCGAGCCAGCCCCAAGCGGGGGAGGGGGCCGCCCCCTGCCACAGCTCCGTCAAGAACACGCTTCTAGAGCCTTGCCCGCGAGGCCGGGAAGGCACCTCAAGGTGCAGAGGCCCAGGAGATGCCCTTGGGCAAGAAATGTTGGCACCAAACATTATTTACTGAGCACACATGTCTCCAGTGCCAACATGGGCCAGGCCATGAACGAGATTCAGCTCCTGCCCTCACAAATCTCAGAGGCCGAGGCAGAAACAGCCCGTGGGGGGGGGACAGTACCACGTGATGGGTGCTGGGACAGGAGGGGGCACAAGGTGCCATGGGAAGGGACATGGCGAGAGGACTTTGAATGGGTGGCAGGAGTGACAGCGTCGCAGGTTTGGGGAGCGAGAGCCGCCTGTTCTGTCCGACAGCTGGAACAGGAGGATTGCCTCCTCGTCTCTCAGGAGGGCCCCATCCTGGGTATAACTGGTACGAACATCACCACCCCCTTCCCGGAAGCCCGCTCGCCGACGGCCAGGCCCACCGCCGTCTGTCCGGCACTTCACCTGGAACATTCCTCTGCTACCAGGGCGGGTTCTGTCCTGGCCGCAGCACCCACTAGAGACCCTGCCTGACCCTACTGCGGCCACAGGCACTGCGACCCACAGATCCCACCTTCTGCTCCCCCGTCACCCTGCCTCGCCCTTCCTAGGACGCAGAGAGGCGTGCGGTAAGTAGACACAAACCCACGGGACGCGAGCTTTCCCTCGGTGTGAACAAACCCACGTTAAAAAGGAAATAAGAATTTCCACTAACAAATTTATCACTACTGATCGCATTTTGAATGAAGTGAAGAATGTAACAAAATATATACATATATGTGTATGTGTGTGTATATATATATATATATTTTTTAAGATTTTATTTTTATTTATTTGAGAGAGAGAATGAGAGACAGAGAGCATAAGAGGGAGGAGGGTCAGAGGGAGAAGCAGACTCCCCGCTGAGCAGGGAGCCCGATGCGGGACTCGATCCAGGGACTCCAGGATCATGACCTGAGCCGAAGGCAGTTGCTTAACCAACTGAGCGACCCAGGCGCCCCTATATATATATTTTTTAATCACAAATGGATGATAGATTTCGAGAACTAGTTTGCTGACCATCCAGAAAAGACAATGATGTAACTGCACTTGAGTGAGACTAGCCACCAGGCCACGAGCCCGAAGCTGGGACAGTGCTTGTGATCTGACAGTGGGTGACATGCCAGGCCGGTGGGGGAGCAGGGCCAGGGTTAGGGGTCAGGAAGCAGGGGAGGTCATGCCAGGTATTCTCGAGAAGAGTCATCATGAAGTGAGCATGTGGGACGAGCCGAAACAATCCCCTGCTTGTGCACACGCGTGTGTTCACTTACATCAGCACACACTCCCTTCACTAAAGTAGCCAAGGGGTTTGGGGGGAGGAGTCGTGAGTCTACAAACATCTCAGAGAAACCAGGGAGGGGGAGACGCAACCTATCAAGATAGGCACCCAGATTCAGCTGGAGTGAGCACCTGCTGGGAGGGCTCCTGGGATGTGGTGGGGGGAGTGAAGGTTGGGCTCTGGCCCAAGGAGCTCAGACATTAGCCTAGGGATAGGCTAATGCTCAGAAAACTGCCGTGTGGCCCATGACGAGTGTGAGACAAGGTGACAAGATTGTTCCCATGTGTCAGGGAGATCAGGGTCCAGTTATAGGAAGCACTGGGATTTTGAGGCGGGCCTGTTGGGACAGGTGGCGATGGAAACAGCATCCCAGCCAGGGAGAGAAAGTGAGGGGCCCCTGAGGATGTGTGCAGGGGAGCGGAAGGTGGCCCTTGCGGAGAGTTTCTGGACTGTACAGGGAAGTGGCAGGAGATGAGCTGGAAAGGGAGCTTGAGGCCAAAGTGGGTCCTGAAGCAGGAGTTTTCATTTAGGTTGGATAAATAATAGGGAGTCCTTCCAAGACTCATTTATTCAACAAGTATGTACTGACTTCAACCCCTCCCCCAGGGGCTCCCCCAGGTGCTGTGCGTGCAGGGAGCACACATTTTGGAGGGCTCACAACCAGGGGCACCCAGGCTCCGCCCTGGGCCTCAGGGAGCCCCCCGCCAGCTACACAGGAAGGTAAGGCTGTGGCCGGCTCCAGGCTGGGGGCCAGGCTGTGAGCTAGGCATGGCAGTGGGAAGGGGCCACTTTGTGGGTGAGGGCCCTTGGCAGGGTCAGTCACCAGTAAGGTCCCCTTAGCCAAGTCCTCCAGCAGATGACATAGGGAAGAAGCATCCCATCAATGACGGGAATGGAGGGCCAGAAAAATGGGGCAAGGAGAGGGGAGTCAGGCGGCAGAGGAATGAGCACCCATCTTCCCCCCACCTCAGCCTGCGTGCGGCATGCTCCGGTCACCAGTCAGCGTGGCAGGGGGACTCCCGCCCAGCGCTCTTCTGGTCTTCTTGCCCCTAGTCACCCTCCTCGTCCTGCTCTGTCTGAAGCTCTTTCACCTGCTTTGGAGCCTTCTGGTAGGCCGCCCGATTCCTGAGAGCAGTGAGGACAGAGGGGAAGGATTTGCCCTCGCTCAGGCTGGGGGAGCTGGGCCCAGTGCTCCTTATGGGAAGATGAGCCATCGCACCTGCCGCCCCTCCCCGCCCAGATGCGAAGGGACCCTGGGCTGGGGGGCTGGCTCCGAGTGGACAGGCGGGTGGCACAGACTTGCTCTGCTCACGAGCTCAGAGTGTTGTAGGAACGGGCCGGGTCCGCCAGACCAGGAGGGACCAGCCCCTGGAGGGGGCCCCACCCGCGCTTGCCCCGGACAGGCCACAGGAAGCCTGGGGAACTACGGGCCTTGCAGTCGGGCACCAGGACGGCAAGGCCACTTGGGGGCCACTGTCCCCGGGGGTGGTGTGAGTGGCAAAGGCCATGAGGTGCTGTGACACGTCCTCGCCCCCTGCTCAGGCCCCCGCCAACAGGTGCCCACAAGCACTCACGGCTCCATGTCCTCAGGCTCGTCCTCCTGCTGGCGGCAGCAGCAACAGTAGACGACAATGCCAAGGATGATGATGGCTGCAATCAGGCCGCCCGCAATGCCCGCATACAAGGCCACGTTCATGGAGGCTGCAAGAGACAGAGCAGGGCAGCGGCACCTCCGAGTCCTGACCTGAGCCCAGGCATCTGGGGCTGGTGAGCCCGGGTGAGGGAAGCCTCTGGGCAGGCCCAGCCTCCCTCCCAGCCCAGGGAGTACTGTCAGCTTCTAGTAACACGCCACGAAGGGCATGGCCTTGCAGAAAGGTGACCAGGTAGGTCTAGAGACTACGCTTCAGGATGGAGGCGGACGCGAAGATGCACAGGCCAGTAGATCTGCATCTCAACACTCCCTGGGCGACCCAGGCTCCTGCCAAGTCCTCAGCTGTCAGCTATGCCAACTCGTAATCTAGCTTGTCCTTGAGCTGCTGGAGGTGACCCACCCCAAAAATAAGGTCCAGGCTCCGTGGCAGCTGACTCTGGAACTTCCCTCAGGCCCACTGAGTGGCCCTAAAGGCAGGCAGGGCTGAGCAGGTCTCCAGAAGTCAGTCTGAGACTCTATTTGCAAAGAACCAAGGGACCTGGACTGACCTCTAGGCCGGGAGCGTCTGGCTGAGGTCACCCCAGCTACCCTGCCGAAGAGGCTCCCCAATTCACCTCCACAGCGTCTCTCTCAGCTGTCTCTTTGGACCCCAAGCCAGTGATCTTTCGGCCTTGGTCCACTCCCCTCCCCCGCTCGCCCCCCAACCCGCTCTTACGAGGTCTGACAGCCACGGTGATGTTACAGGACGCGGTCCCCACCTCATTGCTGGAGGTGCAGATGTAATAACCCGACATATCTGTGGAGATGTTCTTCAGAGACAAGGTCTGGCCTGTGACTGGGAAGGAAGAACAGTGAGGGTGAGGAGCCCAGGCACCACAGGTCAGTGGAAACACCTAGGAATCTGGAGACCTGAATTCCTAGGCAGACACGAGCACTGCGGCTGAACTTGTCCGAGCCTCCTCTGAAACATGGAGAGAGACAGAGTATCCACCTCTAGGCCTCCCAGAGGCACTGCAGGCAGGATGCCCAATTCTGAAGTGCTCAGAATTCAGTCAGGCCCCCTGGTTCTGCCCCCGATTAATTCTGTGACCTTGGCCCAGGAACTTAGCTTCACTGAACCTTAGCTTCTCTATTTATAAAAAACAAGAGTCTGTGTGAGGCACGCTAATAGCATAAAATGAGGTACTGATCAATGCAAGCCCACATCAGAACACCTGATGTGTAGTAAGTGCTAAAGTAATACATTTTCATGTATTACATGAAAATGCTTTCTAATTAGAAGATATGGTTATAACCACTTTTATGGTCTTCCGAAACTGAGTCCTTGAGCTTGGACTCGTGGAAGAAGTCTTTGAGAAATCAAGAATGGTCCAATAGTCCTCATGAGAAACCTTCCTGCCAAATCTGTGATCCTAAGAATCTCTTCACCTTGAAAGGGAGAGCTTTATGCTTAGACCTCTTTATATGCCCTGTCCTCAAAGATGCTTTGTCATAACTGCTATCTTGAGTGGAGAGTTAGAGACCATTTCCTCTAATCTGCGGCAGAGTTAGCCTCGTAAGATCTTCTGCCACCAGGTAACGGTTGCATTTCATCCAGAGGAGATGTTTGACCTGGCAAGTGGGACCCAGTCACTGTACGGCTCAGACATTCCAGAGGTGGCTCCTAATCTTCAACAACAAGTCCAGGCTTTCTCTGACTCACTTATTTCGCTTAGTATTATACCCTCCAGTTCCATGTTGTTGCAAATGGCAAGATTTCCTTCTTTTTTTATGGCTGAATATTACATTGCATACACATAACACTTCTTCTTTATCCATTCATCAGTGAATAGACACTTGGGCAGCTTCCATAACTTGACTATTGTAAATAATGCTGCTACAAACGTAGGGGTGCATGTATCCCTTTGAATTTGTGTTTTTGTATTCTTTGAGTAAATACCCAGTAGTAGGATTACTGGATCATAGTGTAGTTCTATTTTTCACTTTTTGAGGAACCTCCATACTGTTGTCCATATATGTGGAATTTAAGAAACAAAACAAATGAGCAAAGGGAAAAAAAGAGAGACAAATCAAGAAAAAGATGCTTAACTCTAGAGAACAAACTGATGGTTACCGTGGGGGAAGGTTAAACAGGTGATGGGGATTAAGGAGCACACCTGTGATGAGCACCAGGTGATGTGTGAAAGTGTTGAATCCCTATATTGTACACCTGAAATTAATATTACACTGTGTGTTAACTGCAATTAAAATAAAAACGTAAAAAAAAAAAATAACAAGTCCAAGCTTCTTAATGCCATCACAGGGTTACAGATCTGGTCCTGCAATCACCTGAGCTTTATCTCTGGCCAGTCCCCCTGCTGTGCAGCCCCCCCCCCCCCCCCCCGCCTTGCCCCACCTCCAATCTCTTGCCAGATTGTATCTGGTGCAGATTTCCCTTGTCTGGATGTGCTACTCTGTATACTTCCTCAAATGTGATGTCTTGTGATTTTGTCAGCAATCTTGTACGGGAAGTGGGACAAATACTCAATCTCCAATGTCACAGATGTAACTGGAGGCTTCGAGAAGTTAAGGTACTTGCCAAATGTCACAAAATTAAGAAATGATCCTGTTTTAGGTCTAGAACTCTCTGGAGCAGTTGACAATTTTCTTTAAAAAAAATAGGTATTACACAACTAATGTAGGTTCATTATAAGAATTTGTACATGATATGAAGCTATTATTTAAATCAATCCAGTCCAGAAAACCTTTAGAAGCTTGATCGCCATAGCCCTAAAGATGAAGACAGTCTCTGTCCTGGCCTGAGGGCTGACAGACAAGAAACCAGGGTGATCACAGGGTGATTAGAGTTAGAAATGGAAATGCTATTTGAGTTTATAGCAAGGGAGTTTAATCTCATCTGAAGGGTCAGGGAAAGCTGGTATAAAGAACAGAGAATAAAATTAAATCATCCATAATTTCACCAGCTAGAAATAACAGCTGATGATTTGGGTTATTTTCTTCCAATCTTTTCCTATGTACTTTCTTCAGATTCTTCCCTTGAAACCCCCAGCTGTATCTTCTGGATGCTCATTCTCTATATGTTTCTACCCTAGAATTTCATGCCTCCAAATGTTTTCTGGAATATTGCTTACACGTGACATTAACATACGGTACTAAAAAAGCAGTCCATGACCAAAGCAAATTTCAAAATCATTGAGAGAGGGTTAAATACATTTTTTAACAACAGAACTCTTAGAGCTTCTAATTTGCTAATGAGCACTGGGTGTCCCTAAATGGAGGTTATAGTAATAATGGTCTTCTTTTCTTTTCTTTTAAAATTTTTAAAAATTAAAGTTAGTTAACATACAGTGTATTATTAGTCTCAGGGGTAGAATTTAGTGATTCATCAGCTGCATTCATGCTCATTACCTCCTGTGCCCTCCCAGTGCCCATCACCCAGTTACCCCATCCCCCCACCCACCTCTCCTCGGTTTGTTTCCTAGAGTTCAGCATCTCTTATGATTTGCCTTCCTCTCTGTTTTTCTCTTATTTTCCCTTCCCTTTGCCTATGTTCATCTGTTTTGTTTCTTAAATTCCACATATGAGTGAAATCATATGATAATTGTCTCTCTCTTGACTTATTTTGCTTAACATAATACCCTCCAGTTCCATCCACATCATTGCAAGTGGCAAGATTTCATTTTTTTTTTGATGGCTGAGTAATATTCCCTTGTATATATATACACCACTTCTTCTTTATCCATTCATCTGTCAATGGACATCTGGGCTCTTTCCATAGTTTGGCTATTGCGGACCTTGTTGCTATAAGCATTGGGGTGCAGGCGCCTAGTGGAATCACTATGTTTGTATCCTCAGATCATGGTGTCACATCTGGGATTCTGCCCCACTTTGCCACCTGAGCACCTTTAAACCAGGCACGTCCCCCACTGCAGTGGACTTCTAAAAATTCCGATTTTGCACTCCGCTGCTTATAATGCTTTGTAGTAGCCTCCTTAAGCAGGCTCTCTCCCTGCTGCCGTATACGCCGCTTTATCACACTGGATTCAGGTCTCTGCACCTCCTAACTTCCAAATGGTGGTCACTTTCCTGCTTGTAGACTTGCAGTATTTGTTTCCTCAGAAACTCCAATTGATTTCTGAGGTGTTCAGAATGATTTCATAAGTATCTAGTTGCATTCGAGGGACGAGACAAACGTAGGGTCCCCCTACTCCTCTGACATCTTAACGCCTCCTCCCTAATGGTCTTATTTTCTAAACTAGTTGGATTTTTTTTTATTTTTAAGAGGCATCTTGGGGCACCTGGGTGACTCAGTCGGTTGAGCGTCCAACTCTTGAGTTCAGCTCAGGTCATGTTCTCAAGGTTGTGAGATTGAGCCGAGTTATCGGGCTCCACACTCAGCACGGAGTCTGCTTGGAGTCTCTCTCTCCCTCTCCCTCTGACCCTCCCCTGCTCTCTCTCTCTCTCAAATAAATAAATAAAATCTTTAAAAAAAAAAATAGAGATTCAGTCTATGTGTAAGGTGTACACAGCACATTGCTGACCGATCAGGACAGAAGACTTCGGACTGCCTCCAGGACCTTTCCGGTTATCAGAGCCCAGCTTTGGACTCTGGGCCTTGCTCCGCAAAGGAAACGGTGGACATTAGAAGCTTGTCTGGAATTAACCAGTGCATATCCAGTGCCACAAGATCTGCTCTGACTCTGAGCTTGGGCTGCCAAGCCCCTTTTCCTCTTGGAAACGACCTAATACAGTTTCTGAAATCCTGCTAAAGCTGATGTTTTCGCTGCGGTGGCGACACCTTGTGGTCAAGAAGAGGAACGCACAGGACCGTCAGCCTCCCACTTCCCTGGGCTCCAGCTGGGGAGATTTCGCAGAGAGAAACCCCGTCTCCCAGAGGCACTGATGTCAAATTGGCAAGGTTTAACTTTCCTGTCCCTGGCCGCTCTCCACCCCCACAACCCTGACCCTATGGCTGCCACCTTTCACTCAGGATGCTCAGGATCCTCCCTGGCTGCAGGGCGCATACCCACCTTTTGATCCTTCAAGAACTTCCTCCTCTAAAGTGCTCTAGCCCCCAGAATTACCCCTCCCTCCTTCCTTGATAGCCAAATTCCTACTCCTTCAGTACATGAAGTTCAGCTGCCTTACAAAGGATATTCAGAACTATCACACATGGGATCTCCTCTTTCCTCTTCCCAGCCTTCTGGGTTTTCATCCCAGGGTTTTCAGATGAGGATTCTAAGGGTCAGAGAGGCTGTGAGTGACTTATAGCTACAAGGTAGAAACGTCAGGACTGAAATTCTTATTTACTGATTCCAGAGTCCCTGTTCTTTTCGCTGCTGGCTTGTTTCCATTGATTACTAAGTGAAAGGAAGCAATCTCTTCTGTCTTCAGATAGAGAAGGGTGGAGGAACCCTTCTCTCAAATTGTTCACTGTGGACTGAAATGTTTTAAAAATCAGAACTGGGTTTGGTCTGACTCTGGTGCTCCGTGAGGCAGGTGGAGTCCGAAGGCTCTGAGAACGAACCCCACCCCATTCCATCCAACACAAGATGCAAGCTTGCCTAACTTTTACCATTAACCACACTCTTGGCTGGCACTCCCAGATCTGGACTCTGAGCAAACCTTAACTTGAAGCAGGATGAAGCTTTTCCAAAGTAAGTATGTGAGTCTCCCTTTGACCCTCTTTCATGTCCTCAGGTTTCTCCCCTTTTGAATCACTGAAAGACGAAGGTTGGAAGTCTTTCCTGATGGAGGCCGGAGAGCATGAGCAGGGCAGTCATCTGTGATGCCCCTCAGAAGGTGCCTGGGGCTGCAGGGCAAAGGCCGGCCTCTCTGGCCCCATGCACAGGTTCTTCATGATCCCCCATCGCTGCTTTTCTTAAAGTGGTACCCCCTCCTCCCTGCAACGCATGCTCCCTACCCTCGGCTGCACAGAATACTCGCGATTCCCGGGATATTTGCCATGCCTACCCTACTCATCCTTAAGGATCTAGCTCACGTACCCCATAGTTAATAACACCTAGCATTAAGGAGTTCCATCTACCTACCAGGCATGGTCTCCATGCTTTACATGTACTTTTATTTAATCTTCACAGGAACTCTGTGAAGTAAGTACTAGTGTTATGCCCATTTTACAGATGTAGAAACGAAGGCACAGAGAGGCTATTGCCATGGCCACATAGCTAACAAGTGGCAAGGCCAGGATTCAAGCCCACACCATGCTCTTAGCCACCATGCTACCCTGCTGCCTCAGGGGCCCCCTCCTTGGGGAAGCCTTTTATGCCCTTATGCCTCCCCTGGTTTACAACAGCCCTGGCTATAAAACCAGCACGGTGCTCACCATGTAATCTTCGCCAGCCTTGGGTCTCCCTACACACACTTTGCTGGAAGGAAGGGCCGACCAGCCACTGTCCGTGGCACACCGTGGTGACCATTGCTGGAGTCACTGGGTCGTGCACAGGCCAGAGAGGCAGGACCGTCGAACCCAGACAAGAGCTGCCAGGTGGTTTCCAGAAATTCCAGACACACTCGATAGTAATTTGCCAGCCAGAAATTTGTCAACAGAACTGGAAACTTGTTGAAATCCACAATATCCTTTCTAATTTACATTGGAGTGAGTGGGTTTTATTTATGTATGTATGTATTTATTACTTTTAAGAAGTTCTCGTTTGGCCTCCAGGTGAGTGAAGGACAGACTGACAAAGATCGTCCTTGCTTGACCAAAGCCCAGCCTGTCCATTCAGCCGGGGCGTCTCCACCCTCTGCTCCCCTCTCACTGCCCACTTCCTCCTCACCCATACCGAGCGGAGAGACCGCCCAGAAGTTAGGCCAGCCGGCAGCTTTCAGACTTTGTCTGTTTTGATCCCCAGGAGTGCTGGCTGTGCGAGGGGCTCCTGGGGCCCAAAGACACCACCGAGGAATCCCCCCCACCAGTGGGCACCAAGGTAATGACAGTAAGACATTTATATAGGGTTGTTTTGCTTTGTTTTTCAGTTTGTTTCCTGACCAAAGGTCAAAGAGCAAGCTGCCTAGTACAAAGCAGGTCTCTGGGCCACCACCACTGAACCTAACGTCTCCTTCCCTGAGCCTGAGGGACCCTTCCGGCTGCCTGGCCGTGCAAGGGGCTGTGGCCACAAACGGAGGGCAAGTTTGGGAAGGAGGGCTTCCGTGGAGCCTGAGCCGGACCAGCCCGGATGGGGCGTGCCGATGGGAACTGCCGCCCTTGAGTGGAGCCCCAGAGCTAGGCTTGAGGCTTCGAATGTATACTTTAGGACATGATCACAGTCAAAATGAAAACCCCACGTGGTGCTTTTGCATGGAGTGGCTATCCAGACGTGCCTATTCAAGGAACTGAGTTGTGCGGAACAAAGATAACAGATGAAGATTTATTATGCGCTTCCACAGAGTGCTTTATGGGACTCACTTTTATTTTCCACAACAACCTGGGAGATGGGGATTGTCATGAGAAGACTCGGAGATGCTGCAGGGGGGAGGAGGGCGGGGGAGGAAACGGGCAGCCCTTCAGGGAGACCTGACTGGTCAGGCCAGGATCTCCCCTGGCGGCCCTAGCATTTGCGGGTGGGGGCCTGTCCTCCCCGCTGACCCCGTTACCTGCTGGGGTTGGCCGCTCCTGGTTCAGGACGTCGTAGCCCTTCCATCTGTACTGAGGGGCCGGAGAGCCCTCCTTCGACTGGCAGGTCAGCTGGATGTCATTCCCGATCACGGCCTCCCCCTTGATGCCGCAGTCTGGCTTGGAGGGTAGCACTGCGCAGGGGAAGGATCAGAGGGAAGGCAAGCATCAGGTGGGGCGCGGTGACAGCCCCCTCCCGCCTCGGACACACACTCATACCGCTCTGTTTGTTCTCAGGCAGAGAAATTCATAGCCTACTGGTGAGAAATAGTGCTGTAAGGTCGATCCACCGCAAAAGATCTCGGTGGCCCTGTCACCATCACAGAGAGGCAGCGCGCACCTACATCAGGAAGCATCCTGAGTACAAGATTAGAGTCACCACCATTATAAACGGTGGGGACACTGAGGCCCAGAGAGGAGACTGGGTGGGACTGGAACCCAGGTCTCCTGACTCCACGTCCAGGGATCTCTCCACCAGCCCAGGAGAGCTCCTTCTGCTGTTGGCTCGTCTGTGCCATTTTAGGGAAACCTTGCAGTCCCCCAGTGTTCCCATCTGTAAGATGAGGGGACAACAGAATTTCTGTAAAGGGTCAAAGGTAATATTTTAGACGTTGTGGGCCACGTTATGGTCTCTGTCACTGTTTCCGTGTTTTCAATAACCCTTTATAAATGTAAAAACCATTCTTGGCTTGCAGGCCATGTACGAAGAGGCCCAGGCTGGATTTGGCCGTGTTTGCCTGCCCCTGGGTTAGGGAAAGGCCCCTCTCTCTGAAGCCCTTCAACTCAGACTTCTTAGGAAGGTTCCCTTTCTGTTAAGCACTGCCCTCGTCCTGGGTTTTGCTGAGAAAATGCAACTGCTCGGAGTAGCTGGGTGATTGGAGAGACCCCAGGTGGCAGCAGAGTTGCATGCTGGGTGAGAATGAGGCCCGAAGGGGTGGGGGTGGGGGCAGAAAGGAAGAGACAAGGAAAGGGAAGCCTACAGAAAGGAGGTTACAGAAACCAACAGGCCCCTCCACTCACAATCCTAACGTGATCTCCCACAATTCCCGAGGATCTTAAGCTGGTGCCATTCACTTGGCATTGCCGCAGGATGGCTCATCCTACACCACTGGGTAGGATGGCTCATTCTACAAACCTTGTTGGGCACTTCCTGTACGTCTGATACCGCTAGGCACTGGGATGACATAGTGAGTGAGTCCCTGTGTTCGAGGAGTCCAGTGGGGGCAAAAGACAAGTAACTGGACTATGACCGGGCAGGAGGCAAGGCTGCGGGGGCGGGGAAGGCACAAGCAAGGGACACTGACCCCCACAGCCTGGGCTGTGACCTGGAGGAAGAGTGAGAGTAAGCAAGGCCAATAGTGGAGGTGGTGATGGTCAGAGAGAGGTGAGGGCCCTCCACACAGAGGGAACAGTGTGTGCAAAGGCCCTGAGGCAGGAAGAAGCATCAAGTATGCTTGAGACTTCAGGTAGTGTCCTTGGGGCTGGGAACGGGAAGAACACGCAGTGCAGAGGGCTATTACTGAATCCCCCGTGGCAGGCCTGTCCCCTCCACCTCTTTCTTCAGACCCCTGGACGGTCTGCTTGCCCCGGTCAGTAGCACCACCCACTGTACCATCCAGACTGCACGGATGCACGGTCACTGAGCACGCAGAATGGCGCAGCCCCCCGTTCCCCCCCCGCCCCCGGAGTGGCTGGGGGAAGCTACCCGGGATGCACCCGGCCGCCACTTCTGATTTTTCTCTGAAACAGGCAAGGGGTTCTTGGGAGTGTGTGCCCCACAGCTCCTTCTTCTCTCTTGAGGGCCACCAGGTGTGGGACAAGCGTGAAGAAAATGACAGGCCCTCCCCCACACCAGCCCCAGCTGCACAGTCCCTAAACCTAAGCGGCCCAAGCTTCGTTCACGAGCCACCTTTTTATATCCTGACCCAGGCCCCAGGGACTGAAGCAGCCTGGGCAGGAAGAGACTGCTGCCTTCGGACCACTCTGACAAGCGGCCGTCCGCCCCGCGGGCCCTGCAAACAGGTACAAGGGAAGGTGAACACTGCTTCCCCAGAGACTGGCTCTAGGTCAGGGTTGATGAGCCAAGTTTGCCTCCTGAACTCTCCAGAGGTACAGGAACAGCCCTCTCCACGCATGAAAAGCACTCAGCCTGCTTCCCAGGGATGCCTTGACCAGGGGGCTACAACTTTCCCAGTTAGAGAGCCCGCCTGAACTATGACACCCCCAAAGAAGTGTCACATGGAGCCAGCCTTATACTTGGTGTGCATGACCATTGTCAAGACTTTCCGTGACCAGCCTTCTCTGGGATCCGAGACAAAAAGGAAAGAGAACAGACCAAGGCAAAGGAGCATCTAGCACCTACAGAAACATAAAAAAGCAAGCTGGACATATCCGGAGGCTAGCTTTGCCAGGAGAAATTATTAAGGCAAAGCCTTCATTCACTCTGGAGGCAGTAGAGGTAACAAGAGACCAGCCTTATGAAGGAGTGTGTCAGGTTTTTGTCCGTACCCCCCCCACACACACACCTGGGGCCCTTACCCCTCAGCCCCCAGGCTGTCCTCCCACCCCAGCTCACTCTAGGCACCCCAACTCTGTCCTGATCCTTCTCTAAGGATTCCTTCCCCAGCCCCCCACCATCACAACCAGCTAGGACCTCGAATCAGCTCTAGTTTAAACAGCCCTTCCTGCGGGGCTGTGAGGCCTGAGGGGCTCCCGGAGATCTAGGGTTCAGGGTGGGCTCTTCCTACCTCCCAGACCGAAGGCGGCTGTACCTGGAGCTTTCGGGACGGGGCACCGCGCCGCTCCAAAGCCTGCGCCTCCCGCTGCAGACGCCAGGGGGCGCCAGAGGCCGGGGAGCCGCCCGGTTCCCACCCCCACCCCACCCCCACCCCCCCGGAGCGCCGCGTGCCGGGCCCCAGGGCCAGGTGGCTTCCCCCGGTGACCCGCTCTGCGTGCTCCACCCCAGTCCGGAAGCTCTCCGCTCCCTCAGTTTACTGTGAGGTCGCCCAGCCCCGTGTGGGCGGCCCCGTATAATTAAAGCCCTTCTACCTAAAAATAGCCCAGTAGCAAAAGCCATTTGGAAACAAAACTTTCTTTTAAAGATTTTTACTGGATTTCTGAACAGCGTACAAAATGCTTTCTCTCTCTCTTTCTCTCTCTCGTTATAAAGCAAAACACTGAGTTCCATAATCTCTGATTTAACTTGTATCTTTGCCCTTCTAGTTAGCTAGTTCCTGTCTTAAAATGAAGCTGGCCCTGGGAGGGAAGGAGGAATCGGACATTCACACGTAAGTGGGGTCTTGCTGCCTTTCCCCCAACCAGCTTGTTGCCAGAGGAAAGTGGGAGCTACTTAAGGGAAGCCAGAAAGAGACGGAATCAGCCAGAAAAGGACCAGATCCAGAGAAGTGAGGGATTCAGGGCCATGGGTTTGGAGGAAGACCTACAGAATAGAAACTAGATAAAAATGTGCATTTTCTTAGCTTATAATATCTCTCCAAGGAGCTAACGCAAATAAAAATTAAGAGCTATGTACACAAAACAATTTGTTACAACATTATTCATAATGGCTTTGATTGGAACAGGCTGAATGTTCAGCCAGGGACAGGGGACTCTACCCACTCACCCAAGTAGCAGGGAGCTTAAGGGACTGTAGGTACTAAGACAGCGGAAAGTGCTACCTGGTGAGGAATGAAAAGAGCAAAGAACCAACCCATTCGGCTACAAACTCAGTTATGGACATGAATAAGCATGTGCAGAGGAGCTGGAAGTCAACGTGGACAAATATAAAACCTAGTGATACGAGTGAATGTTTTTCTTTTTTAGTTTCTCTCTCTTTTTTTCTAATTAGTATTTTTAACAGGCAAGGCAAACACAGTTATTTGTTTGGGTTTGAACTAAGGTTGCTATAGCAGCAGGAGGGAAGAGCAGAGCTCCATTTCAACAACTAACAGCCTTCTGTGTGCTACAGATCTCGACCTGAGGGGCCCTGCAGAGAGCAGGCCCCTTGCTCTAAGGGTCCTGGGTAGACAAACACATTAGGCACCCCAGCTAGATTGGGAGCAACTAAAACACGGCTATAAAAATGCTAGAAGATGATAATGTGTGATGGCGACAGCCTCGTTCGTGAGGTGAGAGGGGCTGTGAATGTTCCTAAAGGTCTAAGACCATCAAGAGCCCCCGCTGTGAAAACCCAGAGACAATGAGGCACGCACTCATGGGCCAGTGGGGATTCCATCTCCTGGACCCTAAGCAAAGACCTCCCACGTGGAAGAGCAGGTACAGAACCTCAGTTATCAATGAGTGATGTGTCCAAGATGTAGGTGCTCTGTGGACAAATGAGGGCAAATGGCGTATCCAGGGCTCTCTCGGCTCTGCCACACCAACCTTCTGCTGGCATGGATCCAGGAAGGGCAGAGCTCAAGTTACTGCCGGGGCCAGCTAAAACATCACTGGCAAGCTTATGTCTGCTATCAACTGACAGAGAGGGTACTTTGAAAAGGTAAGTAAACCTAGAAGAATTTGGGAATCCTCCTGACCTGGATCAATTACTGGCCGGGGGTGGCAGGCTTACGTGGCGGAGCAGTGCAGGGCTTTGTATTTGGGCCACGCTGTTTTGACGGAAGCTTGCACACTTTCTACAGGTGTCTCGAGCCTCAGCGTTCTGTTAAACATGTTAGTACCCACTTCCACAGATGGATTGCAGAGATTAAAAGAGACAATAAATGTAAAGCTCTTAGATGCCTGGCACATACCTGGTCCTCAGTAAATGGGAACTATTATGACCATGAATTTGTGGCAACTTTCCCACAGACCAAGGTCATTGCAAGTTGATGGTAGTTTTCTCTCTATTTAAGATAAAAACCCCTCTGTTTTAGGACACGGAGAAACGGGAAATTTGGCTACATGGATGGGTGCAGGGTTGTGAAAGAGGTCCTGGGCCTTCCTTCTACAAACCAAAAAAAAGGGCTCTGCTTCTGTCCACGGGAGGCCTGGAATTCAATTAGAGATCCCTTGTTATTGAAGGTCATTAAATCTGAAATACTTCTTCCTAGATGAGAGGACTTAATCTTTTTAATATGTCATTCCTTTGCAAATTAATTTGTAAGTTGACCATAATTCCAATCAACTTCTATTTTTAGCTAAGCAAAGTGATTTAAAAAATTAACATGGAAGAATAAATGTGTAAAAATTGACAGAATTTTTTTGGAAAAGTTTAGTAAGAGAAGATATTACCCAGTGCCAGGTATTAAAAGCTAACTATTCAAACACTGATAGCTCTAACTAAAAATAAACAAAAAAACAAAAAACAGAAAAACAAAAAATTAGATAGATAAATATGCCTATATATATATCAACACTGAGTATAAACATGCTGTAATCAAAACCATGTAATATCAGCATAGGAATAATCAAAAGAAAAATGAACAAAGAAAGGAGTAAGAAAGCAGCCATTCTGTGTAAGAACTTCCTCTGTGACAAAGCTAGCAACCCAGTGGGATGATCAGTGTTTCTGTGGTACAGTGAATGATGCTCATGCAGTTGACTATCCATGTGGAAGAAAACAAAGTTAGACTCCTAGCATCCTATTTACAAAAATAAATTCCAGGTAAAATAAAAGTCTAAGTGTGAAAAAAAGAAAAGAACATTAAGTTCATTTTTAGACTCCCAGAGGTGGTGGTACATGACAAGGGACCTCAAATGCGTGATAGAAAACATCAGCATGATACAGATCGGGACTTCTCCTGTGCCTCAGAATTTCCACTACAACCTCCAGGGGAGTAAGTGTCCTCAATATTAAAGAGAAGCATGAGAAACATCCCAGCAGCCTTTCCAAGAGCGAATCCTTTGGTTATCAGTGACCCTCCTCCCACCCAAGCAAGAGAAGCCTGGAGGTTCAGCAGGGAGGAGATCTCTTTGAAGAGGATGCTTAGGAATAAGGACCCATGAGCATTTCCTCTCCTTCTCTTGGGGGAAGGGAAGGAGGTATTTCCCCCATCTCGGGTCAAGCCAGGGAGGCACCAAAAGAATCCAACATGGAGATTGGGGTTCCCTACTGTTGGGAGCTGACATCTCTCATTCCCTGGCTGAGGCTCGCTGAGTGACAAAAACCTGTTAAGTTCTTGAAGTGCTGATCCTGCAGTGTGAGGATGGAAGGGCTCTATAGATGCCTCTGGGTCCCTGGGGATCCCCCTGAGGACTGTGGTGCCTGCCTGTTGCCAAGAGAAGTGAGAGAAGCCGGCTGGACCAGGCTGCAATGGCAGGGTGGGGGTGGGGGCTGATTCATGTCACGAAGGGGGTTGGGCCCAAATGGGGGGTAGTGAAGCTTATTAGTGGCTAGATTAACATTTTGATTTAGACTGCACTGAATTTTTTCTCACCTAACAAATTAACAAAATTTACAAAACCTAAAAAGATTGATAACATTCAGTACTGGTAAAGATATGGGAAAACAGGCATGCTCATAAAATGCCATAACAATGTAAGTTGCTTCGAGGAAGGTAGTTTGCCGGTATGGATTAATATTTAATGAAGGCATCGTCTTTGACCCAGAAATCCTACTTTTAAGAATCTATCCCCTAGAAATAAAAACAACAGAGTGGAAGAATATCTATATATATCAGTATTGTTCACACACAAAACTGGAAACAGCCTGAGGATATCCATCAGGATGGAACACTTTAATAAATCATAGTACATCCACGTGATGGAATGTATGCTGCTAACAGGTAGATCTATAGGTATTGATCTGGAGAAATATGCATGAAACATTACCCAAAAAAACATTGCCGAGTGATCTTTATAATATGATCTCTCTTTTTTTTTTTCCAAAGGAAAGGAAAGAAAGAAAAAGTGTTTGTGTGCATGCACACTTGCATAGTTGAAAAGGACGTGGAGAGAAGTATGGAGGAATATTACCGTTGGCTACCAGGCTGGTGGTAAGATGGAAGGAGACGGTTAATTTCTCTCTTCGGGGCTACATTGTTTGATTGACACAATGTTTCAAAAAGCCAGGCAGCCACTTCCCGCAATTTAAAAAATCCCACTAAGGAGTATAAATGGAAAAAATAAAGGAAAAATGATCCATCATTTTGGTTTAAAGCATTGCTACCTTCCAGGGTGGAGGCCACTCCTTATATTGGACCTAGAGGAGCCATTCCTTAAAATGCATCCAGTAACTCACTCTGAGTCAGGTGCCTACTTTCTCTGGGCCTCATCTACAAAATGAAGATACTAAAGTAGATGATTGTTCAGAGTCTTCCAAAACTATAAGCTCCAATAATAAGTTATCTGTATGAAAAGAATGTCATCTTGGGACATATTTCAAAGGTGGTAGAGCCTAATCAGCGGTGTGTGGTTGGGGCCTGGGGTGGGGAGATGCTGGTGTGAAGGGTTTCTACTGATTAGCTGAACTTATGACGGGGAAGTTCACAATCTGGCTCTCAGCACCAAAGGAAGGCCCGGTGAGGGTCCTTAGTTAGGATCTAGAACTTCCCTTTTCCTTCTCCCTAATAAGTTGGCCATGAAAAGGAAGGGAGCTGGGTTATGGGGAAGAGCACTGGACAGAGCACGGGCAGAATGTCCCAGGCTGACCCCGGGGCCACTCCAAACCAGCCTTCTCCACTGCCCTGGAACTGTGTGCCATTGGTGGGCCACTCAGAATAGTCTTCAGTTAAAAAAGGAAGAGCCGCCCCCTGCCCAGGCAGATGGGATGAGGGGAGGAGTCTGAGCTCCTGGTCAGGTCTGGCTGCCTCTGACTTTACCTTCCCACGAGGGCACTTCTTCTCTGAGCACGCCTCCCTGCCCCACCTCCCTGCCACCCCAGGAAGGAGATGGAGATGCTCACCGAGGACCAAGAGCCGGACGCGTGACTTAGAGGTTCCCGCCAGGTCTGACATCAGGGAGACTGAGCACTCGTACGTGCCGTTGTCATCCATGGTCAGCTGGTCAACAGTGATGGAGGCATCTGATTGCTCAGCATTGCTCGATATGTTGACGCGGTTCTTGTAAAGGTCCCCATAGATGTAGCTTTTCAACGAAAATTGCCAGGTGAGCACCCTTTCCTGGGAGGAAGAAGAAACACCACTCGGTCTTACCCCAAGTCTTGGCATGGTGCTTGCAGCCTGTTCTGAGGAGCCTCATCCACCATTTCCCAGGCCCAAAGGGCGGACTCACCAACCCCTAAGAACAAACAGCTCTAATATGTAGTGCCCATCTGTGGGTTCCTCTTATAAGGTATGTGTCCTTTTAATGAAACTACTGAAGGACCAGGGCAGATAGGCAGTTCATAACACAGAAGCACATATGGATAAAGGGCTTTCTCGGATCCCCACACCTTAACCTCTGGTAACCTCTGGCATCTCTCTTACCCCCCCCTTTTTTTTTTAAGATTTTATTTATTTATTTGAGAGAGAGAGTGAGAGAGAGAGAGAGCACAAGGGGGGCGGAGCGGGAGAGGGAGAAGCAGACTCCCTGCTGAGCAGGGAGCCCAATGCGGGACTCGATCCGGGGACTCCAGGATCATGACCTGAGCCGAAGGCAGTTGCTTAACCAACTGAGCCACCCAGGCACCCCTCTCTTACCCTTTTGATTTCAAACTGTTCTCTCATTCAGACAACCAGAGTTTAATGAGCACCTATTACGTGCCACACATTATGCTAGGCGGCCACCACTGGCTTCCAAGCCCACTTTATTTACTTGACTCTTGCCTTTGGAATTTATTTATTCACTGATCTACTCATTGTTTACCAAAAAGAACAAGAGACTGGCTAAGATCACTACTTTCTAGCCAAACCTCCCAAGTACAAATCCCAGTTCTGCCACTTACTAGTCATAAGACCTTGAGCAAAATGTGACTCTGTTTCTTTTTCTACAAAATGGAGATAAAAACAATAACACCTATTTTATACAATTTTTTTAAATTTTTTTATAGATTTTATTTATTTATTTGACAGAGAGAGACACAGCGAGAGAGGGAACACAAGCAGGGGGAGTGGGAGAGGGAGAAGCAGGCTTCCCGCCGAGCAGGGAGCCCGATGTGGGGCTCGATCCCAGGACCCTGGGATCATGACCTGAGCCTAAGGCAGATGCTTAACGACTGAGCCACCGAGGCGCCCTGTATTTTATACAATTTTTGTGAGGATTAAAGTATATATGCAAAACAGGGCATTGCCTGACACGGTAGGTTTGCTGTAAGTGCTAGACATCATCACTCCTGAGTGTGATATTCAAAGACGAGTAACTCGTGATTTCTGCCCTCAAAGAATAAATGTTACGACATCCTATGATTAGCTATGGGGCCTCAGAATAGAGGCATTACATCTAAACTGGGAAGTCTGGGAAGGCTTCCTGGAAGAGTTCCCAGAAGACAGTGTCTCAGATCCTGAAGGACAAAGGAGAACCGGCCAGGCAAAGGGCTAGGGGGTTGGGGCGGTGCACGTTGGAGGAGGACAGATGTATTCAGCATTTTAGGCAAAGGGAGAACATTGAAGAAAGACCTAGGAGTGGGAAGCTCTGGGTCAACCCCAAGTGGTTCAGTATGAATGGAGGTGAGTGTGTGAGGGTGGGTGGAAGATGAGCATGGGCAGGTAGCAATAAAGATCATAGCTGCTCTTTACTGAGTGTGTGCTCTGTGCTGGGTACTATTCCAAGCACTTTGTGTGTATTATCTCACAACACAGACGTGATGGAGATATTATGATTATACACATTTTACACATGAGGAAACCAAGGCACCAAGAGGTGAAGTACCTCTCCCAAGTTTACGTGGTTAACCAAATGGCAGGGCAGGGATTTGAACCAGACGTCTGGCTTCAGAGCCCCGACCCTGGCGATTCTGTATTGCCAGACTGCAGGGCCGTGTATACAGACTGAATCGGTTGCACTTTATCCTGAAAGCACTAGAGAGCCGTGTATTTTAGGAAGTTAGCTCTCAACACAGGGTGGAAAATGAATTAGAAAGAGAAGCAAAGGCAGTTAAGAAATGAGTTGAGCAATTCAGGTGAAAAACGATGGGTCTTCGGATCAGGCTGTGGCAGTGCAGACGGGAAGGATGAAGTGAATTTAGGGAGGGTGAACAGGGTAGACCGATGGGACTGGGAGTCAGGGAGGGGCAGACCTCAAGGGGGAGGGTCTTTGGCCTGAATATTCTGGGTCTACGGTGATGTCACTTCCAAGAGAAGAAACACCTGGACAGAGAATGTCTTAAGAAAAAATGATGCATTCTGTTTAATACGTGATGTGCCTGAAGTGTTGAAGGGACACCCAGGTGGAGCTCAGTAGGAGTGGACAGGGCAGCTGAGTGCACCTGGGAATGAAGGTTTGGAAGTCAGTGACTTAGATGTTAACTGAGCCGTGGGCTGGAGGAGGCCATCCCAGGTAAATGAGTATGGTATGCCAAGTCCCCAGCGTACTTCATTCTGAAAGGTCAGGGAGAGCTCAGATGGATCAGAAGAAAACCCAAGATGGGACTGCCAAAAAGCCAAGGGAGGAAGATTCCGAGATGGGAAAGTGGTCGATCGTGGGAAATGCTAGCGAGAGATGAAACAAGAGGAAGCCTGAATGAGTACATTGAATCAGCAAAAGAGAAGTTGCTGGTGACGTCAGTGGGTTGGTAGAGGCCAAAGGCAGAGCCGGCTTGGGTAGAGAAGGGAGTATGGAGACACAGTGTCAGGTCTGATGCTGCACAGGTCCTTTGGGCAAAGTAGGACCGGGTGCCCTAGTTTTCGGACCGACACAGCTTGTGCCAGAGCACGCGAGTTGGCTACTGGAGTGCAGGCTCCCTGGGCTGGGGACCCTTGGGCAGGGCATAACTGCAACCACCCTGGGAGCGGCAGATAATTCTCGGGAAGCTTGGCTGAAAAGGGGAGGAGCATCCGGGTGGGAGAGGAGGAGGTGTCTTGAGCTGAGGACCAGTCCATGAATGCAGATCCTTCCCAGCTCAGCTCTTTTCTGACAGGCTGGCTCTGCCTGGGGCTCTTGATGCCCCAACCGTTCTCCTAATCACAGCTATCCCAAGGCTTCCTCCCTGGATCCCGCACCCCTGCCCCCTTGCCCAGACCTGTCACAATAATCTCCTTGAGGACACAGATTTAATCCCTTTTTCCGCACCCTCAAGGGGCTTGCCTCAAATCCTTTCGGAAGTGGGGGATCCATCAGTCAACAGAAGAACTTTAGTGTTTAAGCACTCAGAGAAGTGCCTGGTGAGACCTTACATCTGGTTAGCTGAATACATGTGATGGTGGAAGAGACAGCCTTCAGTTTCTTCAAGCTAAAGGCCGCAGCTTCCCTCTCTAGGTTTTACCCTGAGATTCTGGAAATAGATAGGACCTGTGCCCATGGCCCATCAGGGTCCCCAGGGCAACAGACAACAGGGTACATCAGGCAGGATTTACTCTCCTTTCCCATGGGTCCTGCTGCTCTAGGCCTTGGGCATCTTGGGTCACCCCTTCTTTCCTGTCAGGGAAAAAGGTAAATGCTTTCACTCTGGGTATTCCAGGGACCTAATGCTTACCTCTGGCAGGCACGTTTGCATTTTTTGTTTCTTTTTTTTTGTTGTTACTAAGTAGCTCCACACCCACCATGGAGCCCAACAGAGGGCCTGAACTCAAGACCCTGTGATCAAGACCGGAGCCAAGATCAAGAGTCCTTTGCTTACACTGAGATACCACCTTACACCAGTTAGAATGGCAAAAATTAACAAGGCAGGAAACAACAAATGTTGAACAGAATGTGGAGAAAGGGGAAACCTCTTACACTGTTGGTGGAAATGCAAGTTGGTGGGAATGCAAGCCACTTTAGAAAACAGTATGGAGGTTCCTCAAAAAGTTAAAAATAGAGCTACCCTATGACCCAGGAACTGCACTACTTGGTATTTACCCCAAAGACACAGATGTAGTGAAAAGAAGGGCCACATGCACTCCAATGTTCATAGCAGCAATGTCTACCATAGCCAAAATGTGGAAGAAGCCGAGATGCCCTTCCACAGATGAATGGATAAAGAAGATGTGGTCCATATATACAATGGAACATTACTCAGCCATCAGAAAGGATGAATACCCACCATTTGCATCGACATGGATGGAACTGGAAGGGATTATGCTAAGTGAAATAAGCAGAGAAAGACAATTACCATATGGTTTCACTCATATGTGGAACATAAGGAATAGCATGGAGGACATTAGGGGAAGGAAGGGAAAACTGAAGGGGGTGAAATCAGAGGGAAGTCGAACCATGAGAGCCTATGGACTCTGGGAAACAATCTGAGGGTTTCGGAGGGGAGGGAGGTGGGGGATGGGGTAGCCCGGTGATGGTTATTAAGGAGGGCACGTGTTGTAATGAGCACTGGGTGTTATACACAATGAATCATGAAACACTACATCAAAAACTAATGATGTACTGTAGGGTGACTAACATAACATACATACATACATACATACATACATACATAAACAAATAAATAAATAGTCCGGTGCTTAACTGACTGAGCCACCCAGGTGCCCCCACGTTTGCCTTTTAAAAGTAGACCTCACTCTGGAACTTACTGAACCACAATGGAAAAGACAACTGTTAGCCTAATGGGCTATATACTTCCCTGATGACCATATGCAGGTACATGAACAAGATCTGGCATCTGTTTAGGGACCTGTTTTGTATGACCCCCAACCCTACACCCATCCTTTCTTTTTTTCTGAATGTACTTAAAAAACACCAACAACTAAGGTTGTAGAATTACAAAATTCCTTCTACCTTGGGACCTTAAATAGGATGCCCTCAACTGATTTTAGTCCTTTGGAGTCAATGTGTTGCTGCTTATTTAAAGACAGTTCAGCTAGAGCTCCAAGAGTGGTCGGGATTTTTTTTTTTTAAAGATTTTATTTATTTATTCATGAGAGACAGAGAGAGAGAGAGAGGCAGAGGGAGAAGCAGGCTCCCAAGGAGCAGGGAGCCCGATGCAGGACTCGATCCCAGGACCCTGGGATCATGACCTGAGCTGAACGAAGGCAGACGCTTAACCATCTAAGGAGTGGCCGGTATTTTAAAATAAGTATCTCATTAAAAAAAA